TGAAAGATGAGTGGCTCAAAAAAGTGCAGTTTCATTGGATAAAGACTTTGTAAATGAGGCATAATTTTTTAAATGCATCACCTCCACTGCTTTGTTACTAACAACAGAAGACCACTTAATTGTTTCAGGAAGAGTTTTTTGAGGCAAAACATGGAGCTATTTTAAAGCTCAAAGCTTTTCTGTTGCTTTAACATATCATTCCTTTTCAAAGAAGCACTGACAAACTTCAAAGTTGAGAGGAATTGCACCAAAGCCCCTTGAAATGGGCAAGTGCCAGGTTCACCAGGATGCATCACAGAACTCACCTGCAGACTGAACTTTGAGGATGGACCTTGCTGCCTGTGGTGGTGGGGAGTCTGGGGGAAAAGCATCCTTCGAAGGGCTTTTGCATGATGGGCACTTAGGGTCCCATAGCCTTTCCATGCTAGTGCTACTCCTTGTTAGAGAAAGTAAAAAACAGCTTCCCGTAGGGTTACAGCCTCTTTTGGGCAAACATCTGCTCTTCCATGGGGTTCTCCACAGGCTGCAGGGGGATATGTGCTCCACTGTGGACCTCCATGGGCTACTGGGAACTTCCTGCCTCACCACAATCTTCACCATGGGCTCCACCAGGAGAGTCTCTGCTCTGGCTTCTGGAGCATCTCCTTCCTCTTCTACACTGACCTTGGTGTCTTCAGAACTGTCCTTCTCACATATTCTCACTCCTCTCTTCAGCTGCTGTTGTGCAGCAGTTTTTCCCCCTTCTATAATTTATTATCCCAGAAGCACTACCCTCTTTGCTAATGGGGCTGGACTTGGCCTGTGGCAACCCTCTCTTGGAACTGGCTGGCTTTGGCTCCATCCCCAGACACAGGGGAAACTTCTGTCATCCCCTCACAGAAGTCACACCTTGCTACCAAAGTCCTGCCATGCAACCCCAATACAACTGGATAGAAGAAAGAGGGGCATATGAACTATTCTGTCCACTGGCTAAGGAGAATTCTGCTGAGTGTGATGGTGGTGACCTGCCGAAAATAAGTGCCCATCCTCACTTTAGTACTTTGGTGGTACTATGCATTTGAAGTGCTTTTGACTGTCTGGCAAATCCCAAAGCTATCCATTGACCCTGGTGTTCACATCCTGACCTGCTCCATTAAATGCACATTGCACGCAGTGCCTTCCCTGCCAGAAGTGCAGCAGTGTGGTGTTTATGCTGCTCTTGCCCTGATTGTGTTGCCAGCTTTGTGAGCACCAATGCAGGAAGACTAATTAATGAAGCTTATGCTTGCAGCTTGTCTGAAGGAAAAAGTATCAGCAGGACATTCATGCATTTGAGTATTGTGGGTGAGTATTGTAAGTTAATGCCTCTTCCCAAACACATGTTTCTTGTAAAGACCAAAATCTGTGTTTCACAGCACCCAGTCCTTGCTGTATTGCCAGTGTGAGGCATCCTCATAAGCAAAGCCACACAGCTGAACTTCCTGCAAAGTTGCCTTGTTTGCAGTGGGCAGTTTGAATCAAGCAGGAGCTAAATGAATGGAAATGGGGAGGTAGTGACAACTGAAACATATATAACACTTATAACCTGCACCTTCATGCAAGCAGAGTTTGCAAATGAAGTGTATGTTCAGAGAATATAATCAGGTGGGTATCACTTCTTTGAGGCTGTTTCATTGTGGAATGCCTCAAGTAGATCTAAAACTTAAATGTGTGCTTTCTGTGCAACTTAGGGGGTCATGGGCATGCCAAGAAAAAAACCCAGTTTGTTGTTGATCATTAAAAGTATATTTTCAATAGAGAAAGTGAATTTTAAAGAAAAGAGTGGAAACTATTTCTGTTTATTTTTTGTGTTTTTTCCCAATTTTTACTCCATGCAAGGTTTCAGTGTAAGAGCACAAGCAGATATAGTCCCAGTAAATACATATAGTAATAGCTGCCTGTGAGACTCAAAGTGGAAAATCAGGCAGAAACTTTTGACACTGGAAGGGCTAAAATGGTTAATTCTGTATTTGCAGGCTGAATTTTGAGGTGCAGGCTGAATTTTGTGCTAGTTGTTAAACTGTAATAGCAACCAATGAGCCAAGGGGAGGAGAAGAATGCACAGCTGTGAGACACTGACAGGTTGTCATGACCTGACAAAATTAATTTTCTAACAATGCAAGAGTTGACTCAGTCAGTCCCAGAACTATTTGTAATTACCACTGAAAATTTGATGGAGGCAGGAAATGTAACAGAAGACTCAAAAGTGCATTATGACACCTGCACAGCAGATTGCACTATAAAAACCTGATTTCTCCTGAAAGGAGGTAAGAGGTGATGCTGACATCACCTCCTGTGGAGCAGGACACCTGGCACGTCTCTTGGCACAGGCTTTTTATACTTTCTTCTGTGAGGCTTTCCAGAGCATGGTTTAAATGAGATTACTAGAAGGTGAGTACAGATTTTGTTGGAAGATTTCATCTGATGACAGTGACTTCTGGCCACACTGACATGATATTCCAAACAAACTCCAGAAGTTCTTGATTTATTATTATTAGTTATTTTTTCTTAGGCTGGTCCCAATTAGTGTTTTTATTGTTGGCCTGAATGCTGGACTGTAGCATATGCTTCTGACATCTATGGATGATGATGGACTAGGATGCACTGCCCTGAAGCACAGGAATAATGATAATGATCTTGGCAAACTGGAAAAGTGGTATGGTTAATAAAAGGAATTACTCTGAAAAAGGACAGGCACAAACACTTATTTGTGCAAACAACTCGTTTGCATCCCTGCAGTATGTCTGGGAAACTTCTTCCCCTTCAGATGGTTGGCAGGCTGTTCCTGGACACACAGAATAGACAAGGAGAGATATAAACCCCTACATCATCAGCACAAGACATGAAAGATATTATCTCATACTGCTCATGCATGCGGACCAGAGATGTCTGGGAGGTGGCTGAGGCAGGGGGTGTCACATGAGGGCACCTGTTGGGAGTCCTCATCCATGGAAAGGATAAAAACAAGAATACCTTTGTATGTTGAGTGCTAGGTGGCCTCTCTACCTGGAGAGATGGCCTTGGAGATACCTGGAATTGGAGGCAGGTGCTGTGGAGGAAAAGAGCAAAGATTACTCTTTTCTCCCTGTCTCCTTACCTCTCCCTGCTCCTTCCTTGCACCTTGTTTCTGGACAAATAAAATTAGGACAAACAGGAACCAAAACACCCTGGGGGACTATAAACAGATGTGATAAAGGATGTAGCAAATATAGATTATTTTGGAAGGTGTGGGTTTTCTGCCATCCTCCTTTCCACTGAGACCAGATCTCTGGAGGGGAATATGGGATCAGGGATACCTCCATGTACAGTACTTCCCACTGTACCCTGCAGAGGCTAGAGGTTTCCAAGTACCAGCCTCCTGGGTGCTGCAGAAACCCCCCCCAAAAAAAATGCAGTAGAAAGTGGAAAAATATGTTTACAGATGCCTTTAAGAACAGTATCTATGTCCAAATCAGGGCTAGTGGGCTCTGGGCAAGGCACTATGGAGACTCACCAGCATTGCAGTCAACCTGCTGGGATGATGAGAGGGATGGAGCTGCAGACTGGGACCGGGAGTTAGACTTCAGCCTATATCTGGGGCTGGAAAAGGCTTTTTCCTTTTCAAGTACAAGTCCGTGCGCAGTGCACACTTGGATGTGGGCTTGTCTATGCCCAGCAAAGGCAGCTCATGTCCAGGGTCTGCAAGGCAGCTGATGGGGGATGAGTGGTTTGTTCAGGAGCACACCATGAGCCCCCAGCAGGGCTGGCAGGAGCCCTAGTCCAGCTCACAGGAATTCATCACTGCCTTAACAGTTTGCTGAAGCACTTAATGAGGATGCACAACTGCTGATACCACATGTATAAAGGCAAAAGGCTCTGGCTGGACATGGTTGCTGCATCTCCAAGGGAAAGAAAAACACCAACAGGATAAAGGTAGGGGAAAAAAAGACTAAAAAGCTGTATGAGGTGTTACAGAGATGAGAGAAAGATACAGCTGCAGTTACACGCAGCACAAAGAAAGCCAAACTGTGTTTTGGGCAGTCCCTCTATGGCTGCCTGTCCAACTCTGGCATGGAGAGACTGATGTCAGAAGGTTTGGGGGCAAAGGGGTTTTTGCAGAGAGTGGCAGAGCACAGGCAGCAGTTTTGGACTTCCAGGAGAATCACTGTCCTATTGTGAGATTTAAGCTAGCATTCAGGAGTGTGGCCAGCTCATAGGAGAATTTTATTTTGACATATCAATCAGGCTGCATCAAATCCTGGCTGAAACATCACAAGGTTGGCAGGGAAACAGTCATCTTCATCTGACCTTTTTTTTTGGCTGAACTGGAGCCATATGTACTTGCTTTGCTCATATGATAAAAGCAGAACTTCCTCCTAAAGATGCTTTGGAGGAAGACCAATGAAAACAGCCTATTTTAGGAAAAAGACAGCAACTAAATATTGGTTTTAACAAGAGCACAACAAAATTCCTTCAGAAAAGGACCCTCAAGGACTGTTTTACCCATGGTAGCAAAGATTTTCAGATACCTGGGTGCAAGCACCATTTTCGGGGAGAAGGCAGAAGAGCTTCTCGTTGTGGTGCAATGTAGACCTCTTTTCTACCCTGGGAAGCTGTGCATTGCTCAGTGGGGATGAAGGGTCCAATCCCCCGACTAAAATCCCAATGTGGGGACCCTCTCTTGTGGGGTTTCCAGGCTGGTCTGAGTCAGGAGCTGTGTCTGCAGGTAAAATACAGGTTACTGGGACCCCAGGTAGGCAGATTTGGGGTTGTGTGGCTATGGGAAGTACGAGCTCAGGGCTAAAAGTCTGTTCTCAGGCCTTCCACGTTTCTGTCCTGAATGGGCAGTTAGGGTGAGTGTAACTGCTGCCTGTTGCCTCCTTCCAGCAAGCAGGAATGCACCAGGTCTGATCTGGATCTTTCCAGACAAGACTGAACTCCATGAAGCAACATGTCTGGCTTTCTTTGAGTTTCTCTCTTTTTTTGTTCCTGTATTCTAACAGGCACCTTCAGCAGAGGATATGCAGTTGCAGTACTTCATATCTCGTTGCATCAGTTTCACAAACTGATCTGTGGGCAGCACTGCTGATGCAGTGGCTAGAGCTGAAGGGAACCTGCAAAAAGGTAATGGTAAGCCTGAAGGCCCAAACCCATTGCATCCTAACACTCAGCTTTTTGCCCACTCAGATCTTTTTTATTTCTCAGTGTTTCCAGTTATTTTCTGCTTTTATGGTCCTGATGATCTACTATGTGATTGGACATGTGGCTCTCTCAAGGTTCCTTGAATACTCCTCTGTCTGCCTTTGAGGCAGAGAGTACTCTTGTAGTGCTGACATGTGGCACTTTTCCTCCTGCATCCTCAGACAGACACCCCACCCCATCCCTAAGAGCTCCAGCAGCCACTGACTACAAGCTCTATTTTGGAGACCTGGGCTGGCAGCAATACAGCCTGGGGGAAGAACAGGGAAGTCCCAGCTCCAGCCCAGACTGTATCTCTCCATCTCCAGTGCATGGCTGGGCAGATTACCTGATGCCTGTGCTTTAGTTTCCCCATCTTTGTAGATGACATCAATACCTGCAAGTCTTGCTATGGAAATTAATTACATGTGGCTGTGGTCTGAAAACTGGCCAAGCTCACACCCATCCGCAGAGGATCAGCCCTGTGACACTCAGGACACCACCAAGTGACATCCTCATCTCGTCAGAAGAAGAGTGGCTGCAGCTGCAGCAACACATGGGTGCAGGCAGAAACTGAGGGTGGCAGCAGCATCCATCCCATCAACTCACCATATCTAGGCAGGGTGGCAAAGGAGCCTGAGCTTCTGGCATTTCTATTGAAAAGCCTGGGCTGCTGCCCTGGCAGCCAGCATTCTGAGTGCAGGGGACCAAGTTCTGTAGCCCTGTTACAGTACAGCAGGATGCCACACAGGATGTAACATTCAGCCAGGAGGCCAAGCCTGGGTTTTGACATCACAGTGCTAGTTCAACATATAGAGGCAGTGCAGCTTCCTGTCAGCCTGCAGAGGGACAAGAGTGTTGTTGCTCTGGAGACTGACTTTCCCTCACAAGACCCTCCAGAGATTGCTGGGTGAAAACACCCCTGCTTCCTGTGGGAGGTGTGTTACTCACTTTTGGCCTTAAAACACCCTGCTGTGGGGCTGATTGCACCCAAGCACTGTGGAGATATACACCCTGTATACAGTTCCTCCAAAGCAGCTGAGACAACACACTGGGCGTTGCTTCTCCTTGCGGCTGCTGTGTGGAGCAGTGCTGCCCCTAGAAGGGGTCTGACTGTGCCAGGCTGCAGGGCACTGTCTGCTGTGCATCTGGCTCACTGCTTTGTAGTCCTGAAGATGCCTGCCTGCCTCACTGTGCCTACATAGGCAGGGCACAACTAAATTTCCCACCAACAGTTTTGATGTTTTTAAATTAAGGGAAAACAATGGGCAGCAGATCTGGTTTTTTCTTTGCAGCCCTCTGTCCATCCATGCCTCGGGAGATGTGGAGCTGGCACAAGAGTCAGCACTACTTTCCCACAAGTGGCAGACAGTGGCTCCACTGTGCACGTGTGTGTGCATGAGGGAGGTACAGAAATAACTTATCTGTTATCTGTTATATATTAACTGGTGAAGGTTTCCTGATAGCAGATTGTCTGGATTAAGTGATGTCACTTTATTTCCCAATGGAATTTTTTTGTGTGTTGGACTATGTGGAAGATCCAGTTGTGGTCTTGCTGTCCTTTTACAGAAGTCACCCTGGCTGTTATTTCCTGTACTAGCCCACTGATACCTTATATAGATCCTGATCCTTGACTTGATTTGAATTTCATTAAACTACACAGAAATGCCTTTGCCCAGCTATGAATATTGACTGCTGGGGATATCTGCAGCTGCTTTTGCATTCAAAGCACCCACTGGTGATGAGGACAATACTGAGAGAGACAGTGCACCCAGCTACATGTCAAATATGACAGGGTCCTGAGCCTTTTTGGGTCTGACAGGGAACTTGGCACCAGTGAAGGTAAGTTCTTGTGCGAGCTTACTTCAGGTATTCTTTGCCTCAGTCTTTAATACTAAGATTGGCTGTCCACAGGGTAGTTGAGCTGAAAGGCGGGATACGGAATAGAATGAAGCTCCTATAATTCAATGGAAAATGGTGTATCCCAGGGTTCAGTGTTGGGGTCAGTTCTGTTTAAAATCTTTATTGATGATCTGGATGAAGGGACTGACTGCACCTGCAGTCTGTTTGCAAATGACACCAACCTGGGTGGGAGTGTTGATCTGCTGGAAGGTTTTGCAGAGGGATCTGGACAGTCTGGAATGGTGGGCTGAGGCCAATTGTATGAGGTTCAACAAGGCCAAGTGCCAGATGCTGCACTTGGGTCACAACAACCTCACATGGTGAAGGGAGGAGTGGCTGGAAAGCCGCCCAGCAGAAAAGGACTGTGGGGCGCTGGTCAACATCTGGCTGAACATGAGCCAGCAGGGAGCTCAGGTGGCCAAGGAGGACAATGGAATCCTAGCCTGTATCAGCAAGAGTTTTGGATCAGGACCCTGGGGCAGTGACTGTCCCCCTTGTACTGGGCACTGAGTGAGGCCCCACCTTGAATGCTGTGCCCAGATTTATACACCTGACATTGCACACCTTACATAAGAAAGACATTCATGTGTTGAAGCATGTCCAGGAAAGGGCTATGGAGCTGGGGAAGGTTCTGGAGCATAAGCCTCATGAGGAGCAACTGAGTGAGCTGGGATATTTTACCTGGAGAAAATGAAAGGAGGTTGTAGCCAGGTGAGGGTTGTTCTGTGGTCTCAAATAACAAATGACAGGACAAGTGAAAACAGCCTTTAGCTGAGCCAGGGAGGTTTATATTGGATATTAGTAAAATTTTTTCACTGAAAGGGTTGCCAAGCATTGAAAATGGCTGCCCAGAAGTCACCATCCTTCGATGTATTTAAAAGACACGTAAATGTGTAATTTGATGGTCTTGGCAGTGCGAAGTTAACAGTTGGATTCAATGTTATTAAAGATATTTTCCAACCTTAACAATTCTATGATTCTGTGGTTCACTTTTGCTGGATAGCTTTACCTCTATTACTCTAAGGTTCAATTACAAATCTTCTGGGAAACGTAAGTGGATGGACAGGGCTCTCTCTTCTAATTCTTGGTTCTTAAGTGCTTGATGGTTTTTGGAGTGCTGGTGTGTGTGTACTGAGTCATTCAATCCCAGCCAGATTGTATTCTATACCACTTTTGCATCTTTTCATGAATAACCTGAAAGTCTCAAAAATCTCACAGTAGCTTATTGAAAGCAAAAACATAAAAAAACTTCTGGATTGAGATCTCTGACTGTACAGTGTGCTTATTATGCTGTATTGTGCCTTGTTTTACACTAACTCAACTCATCAAGTCCAGTGTTTCCTTAGAGGGAGCCAAGACTCCAGGTAACCTAGAAAACATACACTTTTTTGGTGCAGTGGGATATTTGCTCCACTTACATTCAATCCTTTGTTTTATTGAACCCCATAACTACCATCAGTGACTCCTCTCTGAAGTGTCCTCAAACGTGCTATTTATACATGGCACCCACCCCTATCTAGTTTATGTAATCTTACATAAGATTATGTAAGTGCTGTGCAGTGTGATCCTTGGTGCATGAACAGGGTCTGCTTGCCCCCTGCCCCTGGCCAGCTGTGCTTATCTTCCCTTATTTATTTGTCATTTTAGAGCATCCCAACTCAAGATTTTGTGAAACTCCTCCTCCTCCCTTGTGGACACCAGCTGCCAGCTTCATAAACCAGCAGACACAGGAGTGGCAGCAACATTATTTCATTGGTACTGGCCAAAGAGAAGTCATAGTTTTGCTCTTGTCTCATCTGCCTAGCACTCTGCCAGTATTGTTTGTTCCCAAGCATGAAACCCAAAGCAAGTGGGTGTGGGAATAGCCAGGTCACCAGCCTGCCTTCACATTCCTTCACTCCCCAGGGGCACGTTCTTTTTTTTAATTTTGTTTTGTTTGATTGGTTGGTGTTTTGTTTTCGTTTTTTTTTCTCAGCAAGCACTGACTTGTAATTTCTAACTTTAATTTCACATCATTTCCTTTTAATATGATTATCCTTCCTTCATGTAATTTATTCTCACATGTGCTTATAGCACTTGCATGCAATAAACAAGATTAATTAATGAGCTGTTTATCCCTTAACCTACATTGTTAACCAAGCTATTTAATAAAATCAAACCAGACATCTGGCCTAGCAATACCTGACTGGGCAGCCACCTCTTTTAACAACTTTTTACATTCAGCTGATGGCAAGTATTCAGTGCCAGGCACTTAGCAGCTATCTCATCAATGACTGCAGGGCAGACACAGTTTTTCATATTTATTATAATCTTGTAATGACAGAGTGCAGCCCAGAAGAATGCTTAAACATGTTTTTAACTACATAGGTGCAATTAAGTACCCTTAATGGTTGTAGGACATGACCATATACTTAAGTGCTTTCTAAACTGCAGCTTTCTTGAGGTTTCCATTCTTGTCATACCACACAGCCTCCCATTTTTCCACCCCTTCTTTTCCAGCATGGAAAATACTCCCCTCACATTCAGGAATTCCCCAGATGTCCGGTGCTATGGCTCTGGAGTTGTGTCCAGGTTCTCCCTTGATAGAGCTGTATGACGGTCCCTGTTCAGCACCACCAGTAACCACTGCATGCATCTCTGCCCCCATCCTACTTGCCAGGGATGGACTGTGGTCCTATGTCTGTTTCCTGGTGTTAGTGCCATTTTTTCCAGGGTGAACAGGCAGTGGCTGAGACAGGACAAGGTCCAACTCCAAAGTTTTGGTTTTGCAGAGGGTGTTGTGGACCTACCTTTTCCCTGGGGAATTGTCTGCCGCCCCAGCTGAGCCAGGGATGGGCATGCAGCCTGGCTTTGGTGCTTGGAGGCTGTCAGTTGATATTGCACCCTCCAGAAGCAGCAAAGAACACTAATTCCCTTAATAACTCCCTTGGCACTGAACAACATTTGGAATCCACCTACAATTATCTCATGAGGTATGTACATGAGGTACATGGGGTCTCTGCATATTGCTGGACTCCTGTGTCCTATGCACCAGCCTAAGACCCTGCTCATGACCTTGCCTATGAAACTGCAGCTTCCTGGACAGAGCTGCACAAGGATCGATGCAGAAATCAGTTGTGAACCACAACCATGGAGCAGATGTCAGGGAAAAGTGCAACCCTAGGCTGCTGCAGTGCAGTGGGAGAAGGCAACAGCATCTTCTCACCAGCTATTGAAAGCTGATCTGGATGTACCCCTACTCTGTGCCTTTGGTGCCTAGAAAATACAGACACACCCCCAGCAGCTGCAAGCATTACCTGCATCTGTAAGATGGAAAGCATGGCTAAGGAGTGCAAGAGGAAGGGAAGGCAAGGCAAGGCAAGGCTGCAGCAGCTGGAGTGCTCAGCTCTGCAGGGCTGCCACTGTGTGCTACAGAGGCTGCCTGTCCTGCCTGCACCGGCAATTGCAGAGCTTTATCACCCTTCACCCCACGTCACACTGGGCCTTCCTCCCAACCAGTGAGGCTGCTGGCTTCACATCCAATGAATCCTTGTGACTTCTGAGTTAGCTGCAAAAAATCATGCCACTCCCAACTGAGAAGGAAGTACTACAGCCAAACTATTGAAAACGAAGTGAAATAAATGGACTGTACTGAGGAAGCACTAGAAGGGGATAGGAAGGGAAGGTATGACTAAGAGGCAGCCAGGAAAGCCCTGCATTTATTTACAGGGTATAGATAAGCTGGGAGTGGTGACTGCTTTGATTGTTCTTTGCCACCTGACTGCATAATGACAGACTGATTTCCTGAGACTGGGATAAAGCATGGCAAAATTGTAGTCAAGGAGAGAAGAGCACTGAGCAGAGATCCAGGGTCAGTCCTCACCATGCTCTTGACCTGCTATGTAGTGTAGGCCATCAGTATCACACTGACAACCTGTCCTTTCCTGGCCTTTGCCATGCATGCAGGCTCTGGGTCCAAAGAGAGCTGGTGCTGGTCTTGGCTCGATAACATTGTCATAGCCTCAAGTTTCTGGAGACATAGAGAGAACTTGAGTTTTCAGGACAATCTGTTCAGCAGATGTTGGTTGCAAATGAAAATCTGAAGAAGGAAGATTTACATTCAGCAAAGATACTAGATTGAAAAGATTAAGGTTAGCGCTGGTCCACTGAGCCAGCAATGAGGTGTGCAGGTGACATCTGCAGAAGGGCTATCATTAATAAAGGTGATAATCATGCTTAAATCTCATCTGTTGTTTGAAATCTGCACCATTTGGGGGGAGGAGGAAGGGCTCATCTAACCCATTAAATGGGAAGATTTGAAGTGACTTTCTTGTAGTGGCACAATCTGCCACTGGCTGGGAGAAACTCAAGTGTCCTCTTCACCATGCTATGCATGATACTTCTTACAGTACAAAGTGGTCACCTTGTCCATCTACAGGAGGGACATATGGCAGGATGGACAAGCCTGTGCTGAAGAACCAATTTCATCAGCTTGTGAAGAGCATCAGCTTTTGTAGTGCTCCAAGCTCAGCAGGGAGAAGTGGCAAGCCTGCCGACCTTGATATTGGTAGGCACTAGTAACACATCAGGCTAGAAAGCAAGGGTAATGGAAGTGCAGCCCTGCTCCTGGGAGAGGAGTTCTCTGTAAATGGGATGGATACATGAAGAAGTGCTCTGCATCATGTGCATGAAGGGAAATAACCTTAGAGAAACAGATCAATAATGGTAATGCCTATTGCACCTGGCTTGCCTCTGGGTACTGCAATTCCTGTATCATGTTGCTGGAAATGCAGCAAGATACATTTGGTCAATGGTCAGGGTATGTTCTCCCAGAAAAGAATCTGCAGTGCGGTAAAAGCAGCAGGGATCCTCTCTGTAGTCAGGATCCAAACTGCTCTAAGACTAATAGACCTCTAATTCAGAGGTGCACAAACTGCTCCTGTGCTGAGATGCAAAAGAGATCTCTGGTCAGATTGTTAAAGTGTTAGGGTGACTTGTCATGTTAACAATTGCTGGCACACACTAACCCTGTCCAGTGCCCCCCATCCCCTGAGAGCAGAGTTTACACTCAAACATTTCCCGGTGTACTTCCAAGCAGAGAGACATAGGTGTCAGTAGACTTCTTTCAGAGTTTTAGCTTGGTCAATGGTCACAACAGAAAGAACAGGGCCAGGGAAAGAGCCTGTTCTTACCACACTTCCCTTTAAATAAGGCTCTGTGCTTCTAGAGCATGCCCAAGATCTCAGTCCACGTGCACAGGCATCCCAACTATTCCCACTCAGGATTTTTACCAATATTTCAGGTACTGCAAATCTGAGATGCGTATTTCTATCTGTTCTACAAGATACACATTAAATTTCAGGGCATCATTAACAACACTATCAGTAACCTCACACCACCTTTTGAGTTGCTGGCTTAGGGGAAGGCTTTCAAGCACTCACCACATTTTGCACTCCACTTATGCCTGTGTGTCCAAACATTGACAGGCTTACAACTTTATCTCCAAAAACTTCACATCCTAAATCTTTGGCCTATTATTCATATGTGCTCCTTGTTTGGAGGAGTGGTGTTTGAGTGACAAAATTTTCTTTCTGCTACAGTCATTCTTTACCTCATTTCTCCAGGAATATGGGGATTTCCATACCTTTAAATATTCCAGGACTGGTGCAGAATAAAACAAGTTACATCTCCATCAGTGGTGAGTGAAACAGGTTTCAAGCTCTAATTTTATGCCAGTGGTAAATTTGAGCCTTTAAAGTTTTAAAAATATACCCTAGCAGAAGAAAATATTTGAAAAATGAGGTTCTAACTACATTTTTAGCTGCAGATCAAACCTGGACTAATCCAACACAACCTTTTAAGATTGCTGGCAATTATTTTGTCTTTTTGCTTGAGTGGAGGTCCGTTTCTGTAGTCTTTGCCAGCAGATCCTAAAGCATGGATTAATATCACTGTTGTGAGGGTTTACAAAAAGAATACAATGTTGCCTCTATATAGGTACTAAACAGGGTGCAACTTTATTTACAGTGTAAAGTGCATCACATGGAAGTCGTTTAAAACACACAACAAGCAGTGACATAAATGACAATACAGTACTGGGTAGGGAAGGGAAAATATTCCAGCAAGTATCAAAACATCATCAATAGCACTAATATGACAGCCTCTAGTTTCAGCTATTCTGTCCTAACACCACATCTCCTTACAAAAAATATGTTGTCTGGGTTGGTACTGGGACTCCATGTACTAGTCACTAGTGTGAAGCTGGGGTGCTAAAAGCTATTCTGCAGCCCTAAACTCTCCAGCAATGTCCTACCAGATCTAAGAACTCTCCTTACCACTGCTGTTCTGCTCTGGAGATTACCAGGACAGAGTCAGAGGACACACCAGAGAAGCACACTGGAAAAGGGACAAAAACATGAGAATGACATATAAATAAAGATCTGCTTTTCTCACCCATGCACTCTTTCCCTTGAGAA